CCAGATCACCGTGAAGAAACGCATTCTTCACATCTAATTGATGAAGAGGCCAAGAGTACTCCGCAGCCAGAGAAATAATTAACCGAACAGTAGTCAATTTTGCCACGGGGGCAAATGTAGCACCAAAGTCACGACCTGGTACCTGAGTAAAGCCCTTCGCCACAAGTCTAGCCTTGTAACGATCAATAGTACCATCCGCAAGAAACTTCAGGGTGTAAACCCAGCGACAGCCAACAGGCTTCACCCCTGAAGGTAAGGAGACAAGATCCCATGTATGATTACGCTGAAGAGCGTCCATCTCTGTCTGCATGGCAAGAACCCACTGGGGCTCCCGCATAGCTTCCGAAATAGAGCGAGGAACCAGCGTATCTGATAAGGCCATAGTATAAGCTCGAAATGTGGGAGACAGATTACCATAAGAAACATAAGCAGAGATCGGATATAAAATCTTGGCGGTCCAACCATATCTATCAACTGGACGGTGATCACGCCTTGGATAACGACGCCCTAAATCATCTTCCTCTACTGATAATATCTTACCAAGTAAAGTAACTGACTCAGCACCTGTAATCTCATCAGTACTAACAACAGGTGCATCAATATGCTCAACAAACTGAGAAGTATTACCTGCATCGCCTGAGGTAGAGGGGATATCAGCAGGGTGATGAGAGCGAGGACAACGAGCATACACCTGCAAAGGAAGAGAGACTGGTAACTCTGTACTGACAGGGATGAGTGACTCCTTTGGAGGAAAAACGGATGACCCTGTAGGGATAGTGATCAATGACTCTGACTCTTGTGGTAATGGAAAATCAAAGGGAGTATCATCAACTGGAGGGGCAGACAAAGGACTGAAAGGAAAATAAGGAATATGCTCAAGAAAGGTAACATCTAGACTGTGATACATACGACGCCTAATAGGATCATAACATCGATACCCCTTAGATTGATGACAATAGCCCACAAAGATACAACGAATCGCTTTATCATCAAGTTTATGACGAGTAGGAGACCGATCCTGAACAAAACATGTGCATCCAAAAACACGAGGGGGGACCGGAAAAAGTGTCCGCTCAGGAAATAAGACCTGTAAGGGAGCCTTATGCTGAAGAACACGACTCGGCGTACGATTGCACAGAAAGGTAGAAGTCAAAACAGCAAAATGCCAATAAGATTTTGGTACCCTCATGCCTCTAAGCAGACAACGTACCATCCCTATCAAACTCCTATTTTTCCTCTCAGCAACACCATTTTGCTCAGGAGTATATGGACAAGTGAGTTGCTGAAGAATACCCTGAGAAGAAAGGTGAGACACTAAAGCATCAGACACATATTCTTTGGCATTATCCGAACGAAGAGCACGAACAATGACATCGAATTGTGTCTTAATCATCTGTAAAAACTGAGTGATTATAGGGAGCACATCAGACTTCCTATGCAAAAGGTAGACCCAAGTACAACGGGTATGATCATCTATAAATGTCACATAATATCTGGCACCTGACAGAGCAGTAACGGGAGAGGGTCCCCAAATATCAGAGTGTATTAGGTCAAATGGCTTGGGTGACTGGTGCATGCGAGGAATATAATTGGCCCTAACATGTTTTGATAGGGAACAGATAACGCAATCAAGTTTACCACCAACACAAGCATTACTCAAAGCAGGAAACAACATACATAAATATTTAAAATTTGTATGTCCAAAACGGTCATGCCACAATTGAACAGTTTGTGACGAAAAATCATAACGACAACTACTAGGTAAAATACTAGCATGCAAGCTAGGAACAGAAAAAGACAAAGCAGGTGCAGGTGAAGGAATTGGTGAAACTGGAGATGGATTGCCAAGATAATACAGTCCATCTTTCTCATGTCCCTTGATAATAATCCTCCTGGTACTCAGGTCCTGCAAATAACACGAATCAGATAAGAATACAACCGCACAGTGAAAATCTCTGGCTAACTGATGTACAGATAATAGATTCATGGCCAACTTTGGCGCATGAAAAACCGAATGTAATGTAAGGCCATCTGGGAGACGGACTGTACCCCTACTAACAATAGGGGCATGTGTTCCATCTGCTAACTGAACCTGTGTATGTAACGGCTCGTCAAAAGTGGTGAAGTGATGGGCCTCACCTGTCATGTGACCATTCGCACCCGAGTCCAACATCCAAAGGGGAGATGAACTGGCACAAGCGTGAAAGGCACGAGATATACCTGTAGTGGTGACAGCAGCAGTAGTCAGACTCTGAGAAGTCAGAGCAGACATAAGTATATCTAATCGGGAAGTGATAGCATCCATATCACTTTGCCAAGGAGGAGCAGTAGCAGGAGTGGCGGTAGTGGGCGGTGGTACCTCAGCAATAGCAACAGTACGGCTGCGAGAAGGTGGCTTAAGCTCTGGATGGAGCTTCCAGCAAGTAGCCCTGAGATGTCCTGGTCGGCCACAATAATCACATTGACGGGAATCCCCCCGTCTGCGCTGATCTGGGATGCCCTGACGGCGCTGGTCTGAGCGTTGCCCATCCCTGACTAAGGATCCTGAACGGGACCCTACAGCAGCTGCAAGGGCCATCTGGTCAATCGAAGGAGTCAAAGCTGCAACTGGAAGTGATGCAATACGGACTCGACGCTCATGCTGCTCAATCATCCCATACACCTCATAAAGAGAAGGAAGTGTCAACATCGACAAGATCTGAGAACGAGGTCCCTCAAACTCATCACGAAGCCCCATAAGGAACTTGTGAATCCTATCCTCCTGCTCTCGAGTATGCAAGAATGCTGCTCCCTCGGGCTCTATCTTCGGAATAGCAGCAAGAGGACGTAGAGACTCATACTCAAGCCAGCGCTGGGTCAAATAGCCATAATAATCCTGAACGGTCATATCTCCCTGCCGAGCATATGAGAGCTCCTGAGAAAGCTCATAAACACGAACTCCCCGTCCTGACTGAGAATACATCTCTGATAATGCGCTCCATAGCTTCGGAACAGAGCTATGAAACTGGTGGATCCTGCAAACAGAGGGCTCCATTGAGCCAAATAACCATCCAAGAATGGCACAGTTTTCAGAGAACCACGCAGAATATCCAGGGTCGGCATCAGCTGGCTTTGGGTGAGATCCCGTCAGCCAACCAAGCTTCCCTACACGGCCTAAGAAAAGCTGGAATGAGCGTGACCACTCAGCGAAGTTACGACCATTCAACAATTGTGCCGTAACTTTTTGAGAGATCATGCCCGGTAATGCTGGTAATGCAACTGTGCTAGTAGGCACTGTATACTGGTCAAACATAAAAGTGGAAGTACCCATAGATGTCTCAACGGTAGAGGTGTCAACAGTAGGGTTCTCAAGTCCCTCAGTAGTAGCCATATCAACAACAATACTAGGGCACCCGTGACAGAAAAATAACTCTAAGATAAATAGAGGAATAAAATAAGGGAGAACAATATTCCTTCAGTCGAACAGTAGCGACAAATAAGGAAGGTCCAAAAAGCTCCCAAATAATTAAGTCACGGTGCCCAGAAATCCAAAATATATAAATAAGTGATCTACTGCATCAAGAGCAAATCAACAACCCCTCATAAAAAATCCTAGATATAACAGCGAGTTGGGTTTATTGGTTGGCAGTGGGCTGGGTATGGATTTAATATGTCGGTGGGGTGTATGTTGGGTATGGATTTAATATGTCTGGGCTGTGTTGGGTTGAGAATTGTTTTGGGTTGGTTTTAATATGTCGGTGGGTTATGGATTTAATATGTCGGCTGGGCTGGGCTGTGTTGGATTTATTGGTTGGTTTGATGTATGTTTGTTGTCGGTGGGTTCACACCAGTCGGGTTCACCAGTCGGTGGAGTTTGATGTAGGATGGGCAATCGGTGGACAGTGTGTTTCGCTTCAGTCGGTGTTTCACTTCAGTCGGTGGACTGATTCGGTGAACGGGCAGTTATCGGTGTTCTTTGCTGGGTTGTCGCTAGTGCAATCTGGCTTGGCTGGAGTATGTCGGTTGGTGGGTATGTAATGGTGGCTGGGCAGTTTATTGGAGAACTGTTACAAGGAACCGGCTATCGGAGTTGGGTGAGCAGCGGCTGGTTTGGCTGGAGTATGTCGGTCGGTGGGCAGTCGGCAGTCGCTGGGTTCTATGGAGGCAGTCGTTGGTTTTGGAGGTGCTGTTTTGGTTCGCTGGTTTGGCTGGAGTATGTCGGTCGGTGGGCAGTCGGCAGTCGCTGGGTTCTATGGAGGCTGTCGCTGGTTCTGGTGGCCTGGGTGTGGCGCTGGAGGTTGGGCAGGCTGTTGCAGATTGTTTGGGTGTGGCGCTGGAGTGGAACGGTGGCTGCTGGGAAGGTGATGAAGGCTAGGGTTAAGGTTAGGGTTAGGGTTAGGCTTAGAGATGGAGGCTAGGGTTTTGACTCTGATACCAACTTGAAATATGTGAAAGGGATACTCAAACTCAAAGTAGAGTCCCGTATATATAGCTAAAAATAATACAGAGTGACTTAAACATCCTTGTAGTTTAGGCAAAATATAAAAATCATAGTAAGGGTAAAAAAGAGAAAAGGAATCCTAATAAACCTAGACTACTATCTATACTCCAACATCTATAAAATAAATTTCATATAACTTTTCTTAATTAGGTTCTATTTTTTATGTGTAAGTTGTGCATAAAAAACTTTTAAAGCCGCAAAGTAAAAAATTATCATGAAGAAATACTTTATAAATAGTGTAAATGACAAAACACTCATATTTGCAAGATACTGTAAAATTTGATGATTGTTTTTCAACCATTCCCCTAAACTTGATGATTGCTCCCACTGAAAATGGATGTTGGCTCCGCCCTGGTGAGAATGGTTGTGACAACATGAATTCAACTGATTCATTCAAGGAATTGTAGGAAGAACCATCTTTCTGCACACAACATTTGATTTTCCCCCCATAATATTTGGTTGCTGCCTCATTTTTGTTGCTTCCTCTCTCCACCACATTCTCTATTTCAAGGCCTATCCTCTATAAATAAGTCACGTATCTAGCATTCACCTTTTGGTCTAAGAAACCTAGCTTGCATATCATTGGAACCCCTTCACATATACTTTCCAAGATGGAATTCCAACCGTAGTGGTTCCAAAACACTCCCACTGCACTGTGTACTATGTGACCTCTTTCTCCTATTCTTTCTTTAAAACTTTTAGGAAGGAGCTGAACACATTGATCTGAGCCATCAACCATGCTTGTCTGCACGATCCACAAGGATGGTTGATCACTATTGGCAAGTCCCCAAGCTGCCTTAGTGAGCTTTTTCTCATCTGCTATTGCTAACCTTCCGAGGCTCAAATATATAACTGAGTTAGGAGCTTGCTTGTCAAGCCATGTAATGCAACTGGTGTCTTCCTTTAGTAAGCTAGTGGTTGAGGCTGGTGCTAGTTTCTGCGAAGGGCCTATTGAGAAGATTGGAATTTGGTATTGTTTCTGGAGTTGTGACAGTGATGAATGCTCAAGGAAGTCTAGGGTATTCCATACCACGGCGGTAGAAGATCTTATATTTCTTACATCTGCAATAAACTTTAGTTCGGTGGTGGTTCCATGAAAGGGTAGATCCTTGAACCTAAAGGGATGAAGCTCAGGCACTAGGTCATTCAACTAAGATGTTGCAATTACATCATCAATAATTTGAATTGTTATTTTGTGTTGGGTAAAAGTGAAATGAAACATTCTGCAACTAAGAAATCACAGCATCTTCCTTTGAAAAAGAGTTATCAAGCATCATTAATGTTGGAAAATATTCGCAACAAATTGGTCAGTAAGATGACGAGAATCTAAATAAATAAAATAATTAAAACTAAAACACAAAGAAAGAACACCGATATTTTACGTTGTTAGACAAAACTCCTGCCTACGTTCACGAGGCGTGATTCAGTCACCTTCTTCACTATTGAAAAAAATTTAGTACACAGTACAAGCCTCACCTCTCGAATTTTATATCCCAAACCCGAGCTATTTTATACCCTTGTACAGCCCACTCAAGTCTCACCCACTCAATGTATAAAATACAACAGAGAGCTTTATTATTGGAATCTCACTACACACTCAAATTTTGAGTAAAATTTTGGATATATGAAGACCGAAGGCCATTGCCTATTTATAGACTTGAGTTGATGGCAAAATGGAAATTTCCCAGACAATTGATGGCCAACTTGAAATTCCCAAGTCTGAAGACTTCATCTACTTCACATGCCTATTACAGGTCATTTTCCATCAACAAACAAGGAGTAGATCTGGCGTAGATTCAGTGCCCACCGACAGCCCACACTAGCGCCACCTGTAGCCCACCGACAATGGCGCCACCAACAGCCCACCTTGGCACCGGATTTCTTCTGTCGGGCTGCGCCGATATTGACTTCGAGCCACCGTAGCTGCCTTCAATCAACAATCTCCACCTTGGCGAGAATTCAAAGTCCTCCACCTAAAACATCAGGTCTGTATCTTGATACAGATGCCCATCCCCACACCTTGGGATGTTCTGTCAATCTAACAGTGTAAAATATTGATCAAGTTCAAGCAATGCTTGAACTGTAGTGAAGTTTCTAGCTTCGTCATCATATTAGATGCATTGTTCTCTATATGAACTTTCATCAAATTCACCTTGTCGTCTTCTACCCATTCTCGGAGAGTGTGATACCTCACGTCAATGTGCTTTGTCCTATCATCATAAATTTGATTCCTAGCCAAATGAATTGCACTTTGGCTATCACAATACAACTCCAAACTTTCCTACTTCAATCCTAATTCCTTGACCAGACATGTCAACCACAAAGCCTCCTTGGCAGCTTCCACCGTTTGTCATGTATTCCGCTTCAGTTGTGGATTAAGCGAGAGTTGACTGAAGCATAGCTTTCCAAATTCCAACTGATAGGTCCACCTGCAAGTGTAAATACTTAACTTGTAGTGGATCTTCGTTTGTCCAGATCACCTGCTTAGTCTGCATCAAGATAGCCCACAACCTATCCTGTTTCATCTTGTCTATAATAAAAGACACTGAAATCCACAGTACCTTTCAAGTACCTGAATATCAATTTAACTGCATTCCAATGCTCCTTACCCGGATTATCCATGTACTTACTGACAATACTGACTGCCTATGAGATGTCTAGCCTACAGCAAACCATGACATACATTAGACTTCCCACAGCACTAGTGTATGGCACATGAGACATTTTTTCCACTTCATTTTCTGTAAAAAGACACGATCTTGTAGATAATTTAAAGTGGTTAGCTAGAGGAGTATTAATAGGTTTAGAGTTACCCATGCTAAACCTCTCNAGTTTGATGTAGGATGGGCAATCGGTGGACAGTGTGTTTCGCTTCAGTCGGTGTTTCACTTCAGTCGGTGGACTGATTCGGTGAACGGGCAGTTATCGGTGTTCTTGGCTGGAGTATGTCGGTTGGTGGGTATGTAATGGTGGCTGGGCAGTTTATTGGAGAACTGTTACAAGGAACCGGCTATCGGAGTTGGGTGAGCAGCGGCTGGTTTGGCTGGAGTATGTCGGTCGGTGGGCAGTCGGCAGTCGCTGGGTTCTATGGAGGCAGTCGTTGGTTTTGGAGGTGCTGTTTTGGTTCGCTGGTTTGGCTGGAGTATGTCGGTCGGTGGGCAGTCGGCAGTCGCTGGGTTCTATGGAGGCTGTCGCTGGTTCTGGTGGCCTGGGTGTGGCGCTGGAGGTTGGGCAGGCTGTTGCAGATTGTTTGGGTGTGGCGCTGGAGTGGAACGGTGGCTGCTGGGAAGGTGATGAAGGCTAGGGTTAAGGTTAGGGTTAGGGTTAGGCTTAGAGATGGAGGCTAGGGTTTTGACTCTGATACCAACTTGAAATATGTGAAAGGGATACTCAAACTCAAAGTAGAGTCCCGTATATATAGCTAAAAATAATACAGAGTGACTTAAACATCCTTGTAGTTTAGGCAAAATATAAAAATCATAGTAAGGGTAAAAAAGAGAAAAGGAATCCTAATAAACCTAGACTACTATCTATACTCCAACATCTATAAAATAAATTTCATATAACTTTTCTTAATTAGGTTCTATTTTTTATGTGTAAGTTGTGCATAAAAAACTTTTAAAGCCGCAAAGTAAAAAATTATCATGAAGAAATACTTTATAAATAGTGTAAATGACAAAACACTCATATTTGCAAGATACTGTAAAATTTGATGATTGTTTTTCAACCATTCCCCTAAACTTGATGATTGCTCCCACTGAAAATGGATGTTGGCTCCGCCCTGGTGAGAATGGTTGTGACAACATGAATTCAACTGATTCATTCAAGGAATTGTAGGAAGAACCATCTTTCTGCACACAACATTTGATTTTCCCCCCATAATATTTGGTTGCTGCCTCATTTTTGTTGCTTCCTCTCTCCACCACATTCTCTATTTCAAGGCCTATCCTCTATAAATAAGTCACGTATCTAGCATTCACCTTTTGGTCTAAGAAACCTAGCTTGCATATCATTGGAACCCCTTCACATATACTTTCCAAGATGGAATTCCAACCGTAGTGGTTCCAAAACACTCCCACTGCACTGTGTACTATGTGACCTCTTTCTCCTATTCTTTCTTTAAAACTTTTAGGAAGGAGCTGAACACATTGATCTGAGCCATCAACCATGCTTGTCTGCACGATCCACAAGGATGGTTGATCACTATTGGCAAGTCCCCAAGCTGCCTTAGTGAGCTTTTTCTCATCTGCTATTGCTAACCTTCCGAGGCTCAAATATATAACTGAGTTAGGAGCTTGCTTGTCAAGCCATGTAATGCAACTGGTGTCTTCCTTTAGTAAGCTAGTGGTTGAGGCTGGTGCTAGTTTCTGCGAAGGGCCTATTGAGAAGATTGGAATTTGGTATTGTTTCTGGAGTTGTGACAGTGATGAATGCTCAAGGAAGTCTAGGGTATTCCATACCACGGCGGTAGAAGATCTTATATTTCTTACATCTGCAATAAACTTTAGTTCGGTGGTGGTTCCATGAAAGGGTAGATCCTTGAACCTAAAGGGATGAAGCTCAGGCACTAGGTCATTCAACTAAGATGTTGCAATTACATCATCAATAATTTGAATTGTTATTTTGTGTTGGGTAAAAGTGAAATGAAACATTCTGCAACTAAGAAATCACAGCATCTTCCTTTGAAAAAGAGTTATCAAGCATCATTAATGTTGGAAAATATTCGCAACAAATTGGTCAGTAAGATGACGAGAATCTAAATAAATAAAATAATTAAAACTAAAACACAAAGAAAGAACACCGATATTTTACGTTGTTAGACAAAACTCCTGCCTACGTTCACGAGGCGTGATTCAGTCACCTTCTTCACTATTGAAAAAAATTTAGTACACAGTACAAGCCTCACCTCTCGAATTTTATATCCCAAACCCGAGCTATTTTATACCCTTGTACAGCCCACTCAAGTCTCACCCACTCAATGTATAAAATACAACAGAGAGCTTTATTATTGGAATCTCACTACACACTCAAATTTTGAGTAAAATTTTGGATATATGAAGACCGAAGGCCATTGCCTATTTATAGACTTGAGTTGATGGCAAAATGGAAATTTCCCAGACAATTGATGGCCAACTTGAAATTCCCAAGTCTGAAGACTTCATCTACTTCACATGCCTATTACAGGTCATTTTCCATCAACAAACAAGGAGTAGATCTGGCGTAGATTCAGTGCCCACCGACAGCCCACACTAGCGCCACCTGTAGCCCACCGACAATGGCGCCACCAACAGCCCACCTTGGCACCGGATTTCTTCTGTCGGGCTGCGCCGATATTGACTTCGAGCCACCGTAGCTGCCTTCAATCAACAATCTCCACCTTGGCGAGAATTCAAAGTCCTCCACCTAAAACATCAGGTCTGTATCTTGATACAGATGCCCATCCCCACACCTTGGGATGTTCTGTCAATCTAACAGTGTAAAATATTGATCAAGTTCAAGCAATGCTTGAACTGTAGTGAAGTTTCTAGCTTCGTCATCATATTAGATGCATTGTTCTCTATATGAACTTTCATCAAATTCACCTTGTCGTCTTCTACCCATTCTCGGAGAGTGTGATACCTCACGTCAATGTGCTTTGTCCTATCATCATAAATTTGATTCCTAGCCAAATGAATTGCACTTTGGCTATCACAATACAACTCCAAACTTTCCTACTTCAATCCTAATTCCTTGACCAGACATGTCAACCACAAAGCCTCCTTGGCAGCTTCCACCGTTTGTCATGTATTCCGCTTCAGTTGTGGATTAAGCGAGAGTTGACTGAAGCATAGCTTTCCAAATTCCAACTGATAGGTCCACCTGCAAGTGTAAATACTTAACTTGTAGTGGATCTTCGTTTGTCCAGATCACCTGCTTAGTCTGCATCAAGATAGCCCACAACCTATCCTGTTTCATCTTGTCTATAATAAAAGACACTGAAATCCACAGTACCTTTCAAGTACCTGAATATCAATTTAACTGCATTCCAATGCTCCTTACCCGGATTATCCATGTACTTACTGACAATACTGACTGCCTATGAGATGTCTAGCCTACAGCAAACCATGACATACATTAGACTTCCCACAGCACTAGTGTATGGCACATGAGACATTTTTTCCACTTCATTTTCTGTAAAAAGACACGATCTTGTAGATAATTTAAAGTGGTTAGCTAGAGGAGTATTAATAGGTTTAGAGTTACCCATGCTAAACCTCTCTACCACCTTCTCCATATACTTCTTTTGTGATATCTATAGTTTGCCTTTTTTTTTTTCTGTCCCTCTGGATTTTCATTTCAAGGATCTTTTTAGCAGCACTTAGATCCTTCATATCAAATTCTTTCCATAATCTGGACTTAAACAAATTTAGCTCATGCATGTTATTTGAAGCAATTAACATTTCATCAACATAAAGCATCAGAATGACAAAATAATCATCACCAAGCATTTTAAAATAAACACAACTATCATAGTTGCTCCTCATGTAGCCAATATCAGCCATAAAAGAATCGAACCTCCTATACCATTGTCTCGGAGACTGTTTCAACCCGTAAAGAGATCTTTTGAGCTTGCATACCAGATGCTCTTTACCTTACTCCTTGAATCCTTCTGGTTGTTCCATAAATATTTTCTCCTCCAATTCTCCATGAAGGAATGTTGTCTTGACATCAAGCTGCTGCAACTCAAGGTCAAGCATAGCTACCATGGCTAACATAACACGAATAGAAGAATGCTTAACAACAGGAGAAAAAATTTCATTATAGTCAATTCCTTCCACTTGTCTATAACCCTTGGCGACAAGCCGTGCCTTAAAATTTTCTCCTTTATTTTTCATTTTAGGTTCCTTTTTCCGATATACTTATTTGTAGCCAATCACCTTTCGTCCCCTGAGTTTTTCAACTAGCTCCCAAGTGTTTTTCTTGTGTAGAGATTCCATTTTATCCATCATTGATAGCATCCATTTTTCACTTTCCTTGCTTTTTGACTGCCTCCTAAAAATAAAACGAATCTCCACTACCAACAATTAATGCGAAAGAAACCATGTCTTCAAAACCATACCTGACTAGTGCCTTTTGAGTCCTTTTCGCTCTTCCAGCATCAAGAGTAGTGGGTTCTTGCTGCCTGTCATCACTACCAGATGTAGCTTCTTTAGAAGATGTTGGTGCATCATCCTCTCCACTGGGCCCCTATGTCACATCTGGCTCCACCTGGATTGAGTATATATCTACGTGAGCCTCAACCTCTTTATCGACTTCCTTCCCTTTTAAATTCACCATATGTCCTTCATTGAAAATAACATCTTTGTTGACAATAACCTTTCGTGCAACTAGATCCCAAAGTTTATATCCTTCACACCTTTTTCATAACCGAAAAATGTGCATTGCTTTGACTTTGGATCTTACTTAGATCGCTGCTGCTCCTGCACGTGAACATAGGCTAGACAACCAAAGATTCTCAAATTAGAATAAACTTGTCCAAACCTCCTTAGGGATTTGTGCATTAATAGCAGACGAAGGTGACCTGTCAACAATATAACATGCCATGTTAACAGCCTCAGCCCAAAATGACTTTGGCAAATCTGCATGGATTCTCATACATCTTGCTTTTTCTAAGAAGGCCCTATTCATTATTTCTGCTACACCATTTTGTTGTGGCCCACCTGGTGTAGTATAATGTCTAAACATCCCTTCCGTCTTGCAATACCTTCTAAATTCCTAGAGTGTATACTCCGTTCCGTTGTACGTCCATAGGTACTTGTCTTGTTTCCATGTCTACTTTTCAACCTCCGCTTTCCATTTCTTGAATATATCTAACACTTCATTTTTGTGCTTCATGAAGTATACCCATAGTTTCTTGGAGAAGTCATCAATAAATGTCAAAAAGTACACTGCTTCACCTTTTGATGGAATTGGCGGAGGTCCGCATACGTCAGAGTGTATATACTCCAATACATCCTTGCTTGTATGTTGTCCTACTTTGAAGCTAACCCTACACTTTTTTCCATATAAGCAATACTTGCAAAAATTAAGTTTACAAGTTTTTACCCCATCAAGCAAACTGTGGCTGTGAAGTTCCTGCAGACATTTCTCACTTATATGGCCAAGGCGTAAATGTCATAGTGTAGTGTCATCAGTACCAGGATCCAAAGAATTGGTCACAGCTGCTCCACCTGTAACAGTACTCCCTACCAGTGTATATAAATTTCCTTGTCATTTCCCCTTCATGACAACCATGACCCCTTTTATAACTTTTAGAACCCCACCCATTGCCTTAAAGGTGAAACCATTAGAATCAAGTGTACCCAATGAAATTAAATTCTTTTTAAGATCAGGGACATGCCGCACATCATTTAGTGTTCTTACCATACCATCAAACATTTTAATTTTGATGGTCCCAATTCCAATGGTCTTACAAACTGAATCATTCCCCATTAGAACTGTTCCTCCATTATAAGGTTTATAAATATCAAACCATTCCCTATAAGGACACATGTGATAAGAACATCCTGAATTCAAAATCCATTTGTCAGAAATATAATTTGTACCTGTAGTGACTGATAATAAATTACCATTTCTGTTTGAGCTATCTTGGCAATGCCCGCTTGATATGAATTAGGAGATTTTCCTTTTCCCTCCAAATCTTGCTTTCGTTGATTGCAGTCCCTTTTCAAGTGCCCCTCCTTGTGGCAGTTGTAGCACTTGTATTTTCTGCTACTCATTACTCTTGATTTGGAACAAGAACTCCCTCTATTTCCAAGGTCCTTTCGGTTGCTCCTTCCTTGTTGTTGACTCAATTCACTTTTGGCAACCAGTCCTTATGCTTGACAATTATTTTCAGGCTTCTTGAATGCCACAGTCTCCAAAAGAATAGATGTCACCTTATCAACATTGAGAGTATTTTTTTCAACCAAAAGTGTAGTTACAAGGCATCATAAGAATGCATAAGAGAAGCCAAGAGAATGATAACCTTATCCTCTTCTCCAATTGTTACCTCAACATTAATTAGCTGAGTAATAATTTTATTGAATCCATTGAGATGATCAAATAAATTTGTTCCTTCTTCCATCCGCAATTAATATAATTGCTTTTTGAGAAGTAATTTATTTGTGAGTGATTTTGATATATATTATAAATTTTTCCACAATCCAGAAGCAGTTTTTTCAATTAGAAAACTATATTTTACCTCTAGTGCAAGACATAAGCAAATGGCGCTCACAGTCTTCATCTCAAGTTCATCCCAGTCTTCCTTTGTCATAGTTGCTGGTTTCTTCTCAATACCATCGAGTGCTTTGACTAGTCCTTGTTGTACCAAAATATCTTTCATCGTACTTTACCACAGGCTAAAGTTAATTTTTCTATCAAAGAGATTCACCTAGAATTTACCTATCGAGATTCCTTTTCCTGTCATTGTACTTGAGTACAGGTAATTAAGAATAGTGCGCCTTGTTCTTAATTTCCAACTTTCCCATGTCGAACCTGGAAGCTTTGATACCACTTGTTGGTAAATACTTGCAGCAAATTGGTCAGTACAATGACGAGAAAATAAATAAATAAAATAATCAAAACCAAAGCACAAAGAAAGAAAATCGATGTTTTATGTGATTCGACAAAACTCTTGCCTACATCCATGAGGTGTGATTCAATCACCTTCTTCATTATTGAAAAAAATTGAGTACACAGTACAAGCCTCATCACTCGAATTTTATATCCCAAACCCAAGCTATTTTATACCCTTGTACACCCCACTCAAGTCTCACCAACTCAATGTGAAAAATACAACAGAGAGTTTTATTATTGGACTCTCACTACACACTCAAATTCTGAGTAAAATTTTGGATGTATGAATAGTGAAGGCCATTGCCTATTTATAGACTTTAGTTGATGGCAAAATGGAAATTTCCAAGACAATTGATGGCCAACTTGAAATTCCCAAGTTTGAAGACTTCATCTCCTTCACATGCCTATTACAGGTCATTTTCCATCAGCAAACAAGGAGCAGATCTGGGGTAGATTCAGCGCCCACCGACAGCCCACACTAGCGCCACCTGTTGTAGCCCACTGACAATGGTGCCACCAACAGCCCACCCCGACATCGGGTTTCTTCTATCAGGCTAGGCCAATATTGACTTCGAGCCACCATAGCTGCCTGTAGTCAACAATTAAGTAGCATTATTGCATACATATTCATTTAATTACCATTTAGATCATAAGCATAGCATGAGCAATTATTATTGAACTTTTGTAACAATAATTAATCTCATTATCCAAAACAAAATGCCTTTAGCTGTCTTATGGATTATAACATACATGTTTGTGATGGACAGAGACTTAGGGTGTGGGCAAAGAAGTAGTGGTCTAATCTAAAATGTGACCCAATTGTACCTTTATATAAATAGGACTGACATGGACATTTTACCTCAAGTTTTAGAGTTACAAAAGTTCAAGCAACCCAAGGTCGGATTGGATTTGGGTATAATGAACATACTTGTCTTTCCAAGTTCAAAAAGTAATAGAATAAAGGCTTAAGAACAAAATGTCCCCTTCGAGTTTGGGCTATGTTGCAATCATCTTATGTGGTTCCAACTTACTTCCTTCAAGTTCAAAAATTACATAAATTGCCCAAATGTTGTTACTCTAATGATAAAAAATGATAGAAGTTGGCCCAATTCAATTAAAAGACACATTTACCCTTTAATCCCTCTACATTAAAAAATAAAAATTGGATCAATATCTCACCCTATCCCTTTCCCACCAAACCCCTCCTTCAATAGACCCTGCCAACCCACTACTAGCCCCAACCCCCTATCAACTATGAGAACTCATCCACCTCACTTTTCAACAACCCTAACCATCATTCACCCAGTAGTGAAACCCAACTCACCCATCCCTAACAGGCAACACCATACCTCCTATTAGTGGCGACCTTCTTTGAACGATCGTGCCCACCACCACCACCCTTGTCTCACCACCATCCCATCCTTGTCCAGTTGTCGCCGCTCCCCAAAAACCCCTCCTCATACACAAGAACAAATGCACACACATCGCGATAAATATGCATTGTTCTGGACTCTTCCAGATTTTTGTTCAGGGCCTAGGTTGAATCAAAGTTAGTATGCAACTCTATTAGGGGGCTTTGACTGAATTAGAGTGGAGTTTGGATGGAATTGGAACACTGCTCAACTTTGGGTGACAAATAGGAGGAATTAGAGCTTTGTTGGTGGTTGTTGCCCTACATTTGCAATATTTAAGGGGCAAGGTTATTAGTGTGCTTGCTTGTCAAAGATGATTGTCTTTATCAAAAATTGTATTTCTCTTGAAGTGATTCAATTATTCCTCTCAAAATATGTTCGCACCTCTGAAATATATAAATATGTTTCCCAAGCGTAGGAAGATTTTGTAATCTAGTAACTCAAAAAATTTGAGGTTGTCTCCTCAAGGAGCAATGGTATTTGAATGGTGATGTGTTTGCAAAATAAAAAGAAAAATATTTTTTTTGAGAAGGAAAATGATGAATGTAAAAACTAGTGTAGTGAATTCAAATGAAAAAAGTCGGTCAATCCTCGAGAATCATCTTGTCGTGATCAGGCTTATTAATTCTCATTTTTAACTCATCAAAGCTCATAATCAAATTTACTTAGACGAAAAATATTTATCAAAAACTCATGAAGAAATATATGTTGTTTTAAAGATAGGTAATAACATCTATAGTGATAAATACATATATGAATACATATACTCTAAGCTTTATTCGTGCCAAAAATTCATTGACGAGAAATCAAAGGGTATATATAAACACTAGTTTTCAAAAGTGATTTTTATCATCTAGAAAGTATACTACGTGATTAGAATATATTATAGATTCAACAAGGCTTGATCATAAACAAGGATCATCCCTCAAAATGTGCCGAGACTTAGGCAGAAGCAAAACTCATAACTCCGAAATCGTCAATAAACAACATAGTAAACATGTGTATAAGAACAACAAGATTTAATGAAAATGTTTGTAATTATATTGCTTCACAGTGTGAAATACAAGAATAAACTTTACAAACAAAGCTTAAAATGAAAACCCGTAGTTATCTTCTCCAAAGCTCGGCAAACCTTTTAAAATGGAAACAAAACTAAGTAAAAGACTCTCTGAAGAACTCCCCTCCAACTAGAACTTGGTCTCCTCCTCTTTCTTTAATGTATATAAATAAAAAAATATATAAGGCAATGATGTACTCAATTCATTGGCTGAAATGTGTGGTATTGATGATGGGTGAATTGCTGAAGAGGTTTCCTCCGCCATCATCAACCAACCTTTATAGCTTGTGTGAAATGTGCGAGGTGCCATCCACCAAGATCATGGGGATTGGTAGCCTCCCCATGAGTGTAGGAGTGAAGTTAGTTGGCCTTCATGAAGGAATGAGAACTTAGAAAAGTTTTACTGTGTAGCCAACTTAAATTCAACCGGTTGACCTACTTTGATGAACCAGATGACCATTGCTCTCAGTAATTTTGCTTTTATGAAGTTTCTATGATCAAATGGTTGAAGGTGGGCTTTAACAAGTTGAAGTGCTCACAGTATCTCAACTAGTCATAGTATCTCCAAAAATCTCTGATCAACCGGTTTAAGTACCCAGTCTGCTCTGATCAATCGGTTGAAGATGAAGTAGTTGAAGTGGTTTTTCCTCAATTCTTGTTGATTCCCTTCTTGCTGCATCTCCACTTCTCCCTTTAACTTTCTCCAAGCCATTTCTCATTTCATTGCTCACACTTATAACCACAAATGCATTTTTAATCAATTTCTAGCCCAATTTCAAGAGGAATAAACATGAGTTAATACATAAAATGAATGGATCGGGTTATAAAATATGAAATATTCAGTGCTAAACATAGTGGTTGGAACTCATCCAACCCCTTCCTACAATGGTGATGGGTCAAGTTTAGGGTTTCAGGGTTGTTTGTTTCTAGGGGATATATGGTCGCGTTGCTAGATCAATATGTGATTTCATCATTGCTGGTTTTGTTGAATGAATATGTGAAGCTTTTTTATTTAATTTTAATGATTTTTTTTCAAGTATTTGTGTCGGCTGAATTTGATTTGTCATTAGAATCATATTTGGAGTGGTTTATGGTAGGTGTTTAATGAATGCTATGGTGGTGGTAGAGGTGATGAATGACACAATAGTTTTGAGAGTGAAGGTAGAGATGTGGGCATAGTGACAACTTCTAGTAGATAAGAGAGAAAGAAAGAATAATAAAGATTATAGTTGAAAGGTTATTTTGGGACTTCCATATTTTTCATCCATTCCATCAGTTAGTGTAGTCCGTTAAAAACTTGAAGGGGAAAATCCTTTAAACTGAAACCGTAGAGAGTTGATGGAAATATAACCCACTCTTCGAGGTGAAATTTTGTAATGCACCCAAAATTAAAATAAAAGGCTTAGTAGTGTTTTGAGTTCTCCATAATACCAGAAATATAGGAAGTGGAGAGATAGATTTACTAACTTTACAAATTTTTGTCTTGCTTAACTCTCCATAGGAAAGTTTAATAGATTGCTTCAACGAGATTGATTTGCAATTCAATGCCTACTATTGATCCCAAAAGCTACACCAATGGAATGTCTAATGACTTGGCAATCATCGTTGGGCTCCTACAAAGCATTCAAAGACTGGAGGGATTCCGGTGGTCGACCCTCTGATGATTAAGTCAGTAAGGTAAAGAGGATTAGTTTGAATTGAGCTAGGAGGAATGACTTACTTGGCTCGTAGCTAGCTCCTCTCCTTTATAGGCTAAGCTCTTCTTACCGTTGAAGCTCCTTAGCTACCTTTTGAATGGGGTGGCAAGGAAAATGGAACCTCCATCCTAGAATGTTGGAACTAGTTTGAGCTATTATTGTGGGATATGGGTGAGCAACCTGATATACAATTTGGATTTTGGAGTAGGATGCATCGCACCTGATTATTTCCCCCGACTCACATGCTTGCCTTATGGCCATCTCCATCATGTGTCTAGTTGGTCACGTGCTCGCCTTAGGGCTAATTCTATCTGCATCATTTGCCCCTAGCCCAGACCAATGAAAGGAAAACTCTATGCATTAATTACATTTTCCCATTAGATAGGAGTGGAATTGTTTACTTCGTTCACGTAACCGCCAAGGAGCCATTGTGGGCCTAGTATATATAGAGTCTTCCTTTTTCTTCTCTTGCTATCCTCGAGATTTTTTGGAATTCTGGTAGCCTATACTTCTTTGCCCTAATCCTCTTCTACTTTCCTATTATACCACAATTCTTCACTCTGTTGCGCATAGGTTGGAGCCATATATTCCAATTTCATTTTTACCACTTTTACTTTTTTAGGTGGAGGAACTCCAGCCTTGAACCTTTAGGATTTTTTGCAATTGAATTTCTTAGCACTCAACTTTCATCCATGCTAGAATTTTTCCTTTCTTTAGTTGCTAATATGCATAATCGTTATCTCCATCTGAATTTATATATCAACCACCTCATCTTCCCAGTTATGTCAATCGACTTTGATCAACCCCCCTCTAAGAGTGTTCTGGCACTCGTAGCCCAAGTTGATGCGGCAAATGAGGATTCTGATTCATTCAAGAGATTGGGTCCTCAAATCTAAGAATCAATGGGGCTAAGAATTACCACAGCTGCCTAAATGAGAACTCTCTTCAAGAGCTAAGGGCTCAATATTCGATCCCTGACTCTATGTGTTTGCGAGTCCCCTCCGCTAATGAGACTGCTCATTCTTTTTTTTCCCAATGAGGCTTGTTTCTATGAGTGTATTCTCAAAGATGAACTCTGTTTTGCCGATCCATAAGTATATTAGGGGGGCCCTTTACCTTCTAAAACTTGCTCTTGCCCAGTTGACCCCTAATAGCTGGGTTTTTTTTATTGGTATAGGAGTCATCTAAGCTAAGGCGAATGGTGCTGGCATACATCCAACCTTGGCTGAGCTCATGTAGTGTTACAAGCTCACCCCTTACTCTGGGCAAGTTTTGGGGTAGTTCCACTTCTCAAAAGAGAAGGTCCAATCCCCATTGACAGGTTACTCCTTGAATATGAAGGAGTGGAAAGACAAGTTATTCTTTGTTTTCAATCTCGGTTTGAAGTTTGGGCCCTCTGAGGCTCCTTCTAGTAGCTCCTTTTGGTTCCTCACATTTGGGGATCTCCTACCCCTCCTCTAAGTAAATGTGTTCCCTTTTAGTGATTTCCTGTATTGTCTTAAGGTTTTCACCTTTTTCCTTTTCGAAGCATAGATAAATTGAATCCCCTATCCTATAATTCGAGGACACAGATTAAAAAGGTGCTTGACTATCCCACAAAGGACCTCTCTGAGCTTGTGAGTGATTAGGCTCTTTTTGAGTGTCTACTAGGCCCTTCTCCAAATGGCCTCGTTGTTCTGCTTGTTGCAACCTCTCTTCCGAAAGGTATGAATATTTCTTTCTACAATTTTTACTAGACAAGCCCTAAATTTTATAACTCTTCATCTATGGACCTAAGTTCATTGATAAGAAGTCCCTCCAAGTAGTTTTAGCCATGAGTGCATTTGAAACCAGCGCCCCTTTCTCACGAGAAAACGAGGATCTCTTTCCCTTAAGTGAAGGGAGTGTTTACAAGCTCCAATACCTATCCAACCTCTTTTCCATCCATTGTCATCACTCTAAGGGATGCTACCCTTCAAGTTATTACTACTGGGCTAGCCAAGTCTCTTCCTCGAGTGGAAGCTCCCCTTACTCTATCAACTGAACAAGGAAAAGGTGTAGCTTTAGGAGTTTCTAAGGAGAAGTATCGCATCATACCATCTCTTTCAAAGAGCCCAACAACTGTTCCTCAGTCCATGTGGGACAATATGGAGGAGGCAATGGCTTGGCTTCACTAGTTTTTTCATGAAGATGAGGTGCAAACTACCTTTGACCTGGGGCCATCCTAGGTAACAAAAAACATGGCCCTTACAATTGAAAAGGTAGACCTTTGACTCCTCTAAGTTTGTTTGTTTCCATTTCTATTTTTAATCCCTT